CCCCCGCAATTTTTTATTTAATCAAGAAAACGCTCTTGATACTTCATTTTGGCGCCCAACGTGGGGCCTGTGATAATTTAAAGATAAAATATCGTGAAATCTCGCACTTTCGCGAAAAGTCAACTTAGCATTCTCGGCTACCGTTTCTAAAACGTAGCTCAACATTCACGGCATCAAAGGAGTTTCCTACCGTAACAAATATATTTTCGACATTTTGGGCTGCTTATCCAAAAGCGCAGGCCGCATAGTGCATAAGGAAGCTTGTGTATCCATCGGTACCTGGTACACCGAAAGCATACATCTTTCGACATAGTAAGGCTGCCGGAGTCTCAATCCCGCGCAATCCCGTTTCAAACACATTGCTATAGGAGCTTTGTAGTTGCTAACTATTTCGCTACAGGAGCGTTGTTGTTAGCGGTTCTTTCATATCAGGTCACCTTGCAAAGCAACGTTATTTGCTATTGCGAGCACATACAGTACATACAAGGTAGTCTCACACTACTTCTCTTGCAAGCGTTGTTGTTATTGTTGGCGGTATTTCAAAGCCAAGCCGCTATAGTAGAATTGGGCTCGCAAAGGGTCCCGCCAAACAAAATATACTTAGAGCAAAATTTTGTACAGCCCATAAATCTGAGAAGCGGGCAATAGATTTGCTATCTCATAACCATGCCCAATTTGGAGCAACTTAAACAGCAGCGCGCTAATCTGCGTCGAAACATATCGCGCATTCGCAATTCTGTCGACACAAAACTTGCAATTTCGTCCGCTGAATTGAATTGTCGTTTGGCTATATTAGAGGCCTACTTTAAGCAAGTTATGACAGTTCAGACCGAAATTGAGCAGCTGGATCCAGACGAAGCAGAGCGTGAGACCAGAGGAGAAATAGAAGATACGTGCGTCGCTATCAAGGTGTGCATTAATGAGCAGCTAGGTTCAGATGCCCACAATTTGACTGTTGCTGACTCAGTTCATTGCGCTTCTCACTCAACTTCTATGAAGCTGCCACGTCTGTCACTACCAGTTTTTGATGGAAAATACTCCGACTATAAAAACTTTATAACATCGTTTAAGTTAGTCGTTGATAAGCAGTCTACTTTGTCATCCATCGAAAAGTTCAATCAACTAATCAATTGCTTACGTGGCCCGGCCTTAGAAACTGTCAAGGCTTTTCAAATCACTTCGGAAAATTATTCAAAGGCGCTGGAACGCCTCAAGGCCCGCTATGATAATCCAACGCTCGTATTCTTGGACAACATAAATTCGCTTTTTACTTTACCTAGTGTTTCAAGGTCAAATGCGAAACAGCTTCGTAGCCTGATCGACAACTCATCAGCCTAGTACAATTCATTGTTGTCACTGGGTAATGCATCGCAAATTGCTGAGGCTATGCTTATCTCCATCGTTATGGAAAGGGTGGATCAAGACACCAAAAAGAAATGGAATGAGCATTTGAACTTCAGCGATCTTCCTACATGGACATCCTGCGTTTCGGTTGTCGAACGACATTGCCAATTCTTGGAGTCAATAAGTAAGCCCGGTACCGATAGTAGCGCGAGTCAGCAAGCTATTGGAAAGCCACGAAACCAAAAACACCAGCGCCAAGGGTTGACTTTCAACTGCACATCGCAAACGTGTCATTCATGCGCTAGCACGGAGCACAGAACTTACAGGTGTCCTCAAATCGTTGGTGCTACACTCAATCAGCGTTACGACATCACTAAGCGACTGGGACTTTGTCTCAATTGCTTGGGCAAGGGTCATCAGGCTGCGAAATGCCCATCCACACACAGGTGTCGATCGTGTTCTCGCTCCCATCATACACTATTGCATCGTGATTCAGCTGGTATGTCTTCGTCTTCACCGCAGTCAACTCCGCAACTCCCTGAAGTACCACAGAAGAACTCAGAAGCAGCTGTTCACACTCACACCGGCTTGAATCGAATAATTTTAGCCACGTCAGGCTGTTATAAAATTGGTCGTGCGCTCCTAGACTCTTGTTCACAAGTCAATTTCGTATCGGATCAATTCGCACAGGCTCTCCGATTACCTCGCAAACGAAGCCATATGGAAATTCGCAGCATTGGAGAATCCCAGACTCAGATAAAACATCGAACGTCTACAACAATCAAGTCACGTTTTGGAGAATTCGAACTACCGCTAGATTTCTGTGTTACTTCGAATATTGCATATCATCCAGACACAGAAATTGATATCTCATCATGGAAGCTGCCTCAAAATACTCCGTTGGCCGACGAAGGGTTCAACAAAGCTCGTCCTATTGATTTGCTGTTAGGGACAGAAGCGTTTTTCGACATCTTATCCATTGGCCAAGTCAGGCTTGGTGTAAATATGCCAGTGTTGCAGAAGACGCTCCTTGGATGGGTAGTTTCGGGCCGTTGCCAAACCGGCTCCACCACATCACACAGTTACTCGATTTCCATGGACGAAGTCATCAACAACAACATAGAACGCCTGTGGCGCATTGAAGAGGTTAACACTTCTGTTGACATTTACACTCCAGAGCAGCGCAGTTGTGAAGAGGCTTTCAAAAACACCGTTCGCCGACAACCTGATGGCCGAGTGGTAGTTCGCCTTCCATTCAAAGATGATCCTGGTTTTTTAGGCCACTCGTATGAAATTGCCCGTAAACGTTTTGAAGCTCTTGAGCGCCGCTTGAGCCGCACATCAGATGTGAAAAGGCAATACGCAGATTTTATGTTAGAGTACGAACAGTTGGGCCATATGAGCTTGGTGACAACACCGAAGTTGGATGTCCCACATTTTTACATACCGCACCACTGCGTACTCAAGCCGAACAGTACCACTACGAAATTAAGAGTGGTTTTCGATGCTTCTTGTCAGACAACGACACAAAGGTCTCTGAACGATTTACTAATGGTCGGACCGACCATACAGCCCGACTTGTACACGTTACTTCTACGCTTCCGTACATATCGTTATGCAATTACCGCCGATGTCGTCAAGATGTTCAGACAGATTCTTGTCGACGCCCATGATCGCAAGTTTCAATATATACTTTGGAGAAGTACACCCGATCAACCATTACGCACATTTGAACTGAATACAGTCACTTATGGGACTGCTACCGCGCCATATCTCGCTATACGTAGCATGCAATACTTAGCTGAGCAATGCATGGACGAGTTCAAGGTAGGAGCCGAGGCTATAAAATCATCCTTCTACGTTGATGATTTCATTTGTGGAGCTAACACGTTGGAATGCCTTCATCAAATCAAAACGGAGGTAATTGAGATACTTCGTCGTGGTAGATTTGAGCTAGCGAAATGGCACTCGAACTATAGCGAGTTTGTTAATGACTGTACGATTAAAGATCTTAACTTAGAAGACGATTCAGTAACCAGCACTCTGGGCTTAAGGTGGGATCAACGAGAAGACGTCTTTATGTTTGCATTTGTACTCAAGCGCACATCACATGCTGTCACGAAGCGGTCTATACTATCAATTGCTTCGTCTCTCTTTGACCCGTTGGGCTTGGTGTCACCTATCATCATACTTGCAAAAATACTTATACAAGAGCTTTGGTTGCTAAAATTACAGTGGGATGAGTCAGTTCCGCACAACATTCACACCGCATGGACATCGTTCCTCTCATCGCTTTCATCGTTGGAATCGCTAACTATACCGCGCTATTGCCTTCAACCCAGCGTTCAGAGCCTTCAGTTGCACGGCTTCTGTGATGCCTCAATTAGGGCTTATGGATGCTGTATATATGCACGCACAGTTGACCCTAGCGGTGAAGTCAAGGTCACGTTGATTACATCCAAGTCGAGAGTCGCCCCAACGAGGAAACTCTCATTGCCCAAATTGGAATTATGCGGTGCTCATTTGCTGTCACAACTTTACGCTAAAATAAAGGTGAATTTCGGCGATACCCAATATACAACGTATCTATGGAGCGATTCACAAATCGTTCTACACTGGATTCAACAGCATTCCGCCGCACTATCTACGTTCGTAGGAAATCGTATTTCTGAAATACAACAAAAAACATCTTGTTGCGAATGGAAATACGTTTCAACGCACTATAATCCAGCTGATCTGCTTTCCAGGGGGTGCTCAGTGAGTGAGCTGCAGCAGTCCATATGGTTCGAAGGGCCGGCATACCTGCAACGCCACCAAGACGAGTGGCCGACGCACCATCGAGGTGATATTGATCAAGATATAGTGAACTTAGAGAAACGTAAATCGGCTTTCGCTACTGTTAATGCCACTAACGACCTACTCGAAGCAGTGTATAAAATTAGCTCGCACAGCCGATGCTTACAAATCGTAGCCTGGATGTTTAGGTTCAGCAACTTAAGTAGAAAATTGGGTTCGTTCGATACATTGTCGCCGTCACCACAAGAGCTGTTACATGCTTTGCATTGCATCATTTGGAACCTGCAAATAAGGCACTATTCCGATGACATCAAAGCACTTCGCAAAGGCCAACAGGTCTGTAGTAATCTTAAATCTTTAAATCCTTTTTTGCAGATAACTGACGGGTTCATGCTGATGAAAGTTGGAGGTCGATTGGAGATGGCAAATATTCTGTATACACAGAAGCACCCGATACTACTTCCAGGCAAGGATGACTTTGTCCGCCAGTACGTGCAGTTCGTTCATCGCCAAAATTACCATGCGGGTCCAAAGGCATTAGTTGCACTCATACGCCTACGCTTTTGGATCATCAATGCACGGGATTTAGCTCGCCGTGTCGTCCGATCTTGCGTGCACTGCGTTCGTTATCGGCCAAAGCTGGAAGGGCAAATAATGGGTCAGCTTCCCGTCGAACGACTCACCCCATCAAGACCATTTGCAAGATGCGGAGTGGATTTCTGCGGTCCAGTCAATACGTACCTACGCCTTCGAGGCAAGGTTCCCTACAAAAGCTACATCGCAATTTTCGTGTGCTTCGCGACGAAGGCAGTGCACGTTGAAGTTGTGTCAGACTTGTCGTCCGATGCATTTATCGCCGCCCTGAAACGGTTGGTAGCCAGGCGTGGACTACCGTCCGATATCTTCTGCGATAATGCTACCAATTTCGTTGGAGCCAGCAACCAATTAGAGGCCCTCAAGCAATTTTTGTTTAAGGATGACACAATCAAATCGATCAACAAATTTTGTGTACGTGAGTTCATCAACTTCCATTTCATCCCTCCCAGAGCCCCCCATTTCGGCGGCTTGTGGGAGGCTGCAGTTAAGAGCGTCAAGGGACTAATCAACCGCACTCTTATGAACGCTCGTTTAACATTCGAGGAGCTTACAACTGTCACAGCTGAGGTGGAGGCGATTCTGAATTCTCGCCCTTTGTCACCACTCTCTTCAGACCCGAATGACCTAGCCGCACTCACCCCGGGCCACTTCCTCATTGGCGACTCATTACGTGCATTGCCCGAGACACCCGTCACAGAGCTGGGTAAGTTAGAACGATGGCGAAGAGTGGGCGCGATCAAACAACAACTTTGGCGTCGATGGTCGCTGGAGTATATCAATGAGCTGCAGGTGCGTAGTAACTGGACCAAGCCATACCCAAATGTGTGTGTGGGAGCGATGGTTATCGTGCATGACGACAATTTACCACCGCAGTGTTGGATGCTAGGTCGTATCGAAAGAGTCATACGTGGAGAGGACGATCGAGTGCGCGTGGCTGATGTTCGCACTGCAAAGGGAGTTATCCGCCGCCCCATACATAAGATAGCGCTATTACCAGTTACTTGAAAGTTCTACGTACTTTCAA